CGGCGTTTAGCGGGGGGCGGGGCTGGAGAGGGCTGGGGCGCCTTCTTGCGACTTCCTCCGCGACCGGGCCCGGGTGGAGGCTGCTGCTTGGGCCGGGCGGGAGGGGCGGGAGTCGCAGGAGGGCGCCCTCGGCGGCGAACAGACTGAGTACTCTGCCCGGTCGGCTGGGTGGAGGCAGCAGCGGGCCGTCGGGGCAGAATATGCTTGATAGCCTCAGTCTGTTTCTGCGCAGTCGAGAACTGTTGGGCAAAGTCCTCGACTGCACCGCCGAAAAGGCCATCTTGCGATATGGGGGTGTCGAGCAGCCGGGACCGCTCGGCATCCTTCATATCGGCAAGATTAAGCCAAAGATGTCTCTCCTGGACCACGGCTGTGGACATCACCAAACCCAGGGAGCGTGCGGTCACCTTCGTCGCTCGGAGAGCAAGGTCGGTGGCGGCACGCAGCTCATTGAAGAGCCCTGGGTCCGTCCTACCCTCGTGCATGTCCCTGAGCATCTGGGCCTGGTAGACCTGCAGAATGGCCATGGCATGCAAAGAGGTGGCTGCCTGTCCCGCAGCTCTGTAGGACTTCGCCACTAACGTAGACGAATACCTACAGGCTTTGGATGGGTGCTTTGGCTCACCACGAGACGAAGCGCTCTGAGGACACAGTTGCATCGCAACAGAGCGTTCGACCGGGGGAAGCCCAGTGTACCCACGGGCAGCGGCCTCATCGAGGGGAGGAAAGGCGGATGAGATCATCGAGCGGTCACGGGAAGACATGGGAGTCTTCCAGGACTTCGAGATCTCATCATGCACGTCCGGGAAGAAAGGTATCGGGGCCGGACGCGGACGGGGGTCCGCAGCCTGACCCAAATACCAGTCATCCAGCCGCGAGCGCTCGGGACAGGGCGGAGGGTTCCACTCTAACCCGATGCTCGCGGCGGCTCGAGACAGCATGGCCGTCATCTCTGGATCTGACTCTGGCACAACTGTAGTCACACCCGAAGGCGGCAGCTGTGATGAGTCTTCACTTCCAGCAGACTCCGACCCACCTTGTGATGCTGCAATAGACATGGCATCTTCCTCTGGAGCGCCAAAGGAAACCCGCGGGACACCCGAAGATGATCTCGCCGGAATCCCCTGAACACTCACGGGTTGCAGCATTGGAGAGGGTGCGGCTGGGCACGGACTGATAGTCGGCGCTTGGTTCCAAACCGTCACCCTCAGATCACCCTGGCCACCAGCCGAAGTACTAGCTCTATTTCTAGAGTCAGTAGATCGGGGTGTGGATGAGGGGACCCTCACTCTTGCGAGATCACCGAGTCTTGACCGTAATGCTGCGATGGTCATGTTCCCACAGAGAGAACATGAGTCATCCACGAGTGCTGCTCTAGCGTGATCAATGCCCAAACACACTATGCAGCACCCGTGCCCATCAGAGTCGTCAACCAGCCTACCGCAACCAGAAGTGCACGGGCGAGGCATCTTTAAAAAGACGTGCCACGTGCAAGCTCTTTTGTGAGAATAGAAACCTGATTGTGTTGAAGCGCTCGGGGAGAAACACACTCGCTGTCGAACCACAGACAGATAAGCAGGAAGTGCGCGCTCGCCGAAGATCGCCGTCACACCAACACCAGAGAATCTTGCTCGTTTGAAGAACTGACAATTTCAGGAATGGCTTGTGGAACGAAGGATTAACTTGGCTCCAAAGCGAAAACATGCCTATTTGCTGCCAGCGTTCTCCTTATATACTCACGAGGTGAGGCGGAGTTACGCTATGCAAATTCCGCAGACCCATGGCATTTCTTTGCCATTGGCTCGTTTTGAAGTATTTGAAGTTGATTGGCTTCTAAGCGAAACCCCCATTCGTCGTCATCCGACGGAACTCGGAGTGACAACGAAAGGGAACTGAATAGTTCTTCTATGGCATCAGTGTGAAAAACCCCTTATGGAACCTTTATTTTTAAGAGTGCAATGCTGTTTTTTTTTCCATGTCTCTTCGTTGGCCAGAAAATCACACCGTTTAGTCAGCAGGATGAACCCCAGCTTGAGATGATAAACAGAAGTATACCTTTCTCCTGCATTACCCCAACCCAGATAAAAGGCGTCCAGCCAGCAAAAGGCTCCCCACAGGCCTCCTTTGCTTATGAAAGAGAGCAAGGCCTGATGGCTTTTATAATAAACATCTTTAAAGAGGTAAATAATGAGCAAAGTCACTGGCAACACTTCACTGCTGAGATCCCTCTGCTCAGGGTTAATAATGTGAGAAGTGAAGAGTGACAGAGGAGATCGAGGAAAGAGAGGCTGGATATCAGATGAGATACCGAGTTTCTTTTCTCCATCCTTAGGCGAAACACTTTCACTTACGGCAGAGAGCGTTCTTGAAAAGCTGGCTGAAATCTGCCACAAGAAGCTTTTTGAAGAAGGTAATGGTGCGTTTTGTAGTGATTGCATTTCGATTAGTGAGTTGCAGCTGTGTCTCAACATTACATCCAATGGCTGTGAAATTCACAGATAATCCCTGTGAAATGAGCTGGAACATGGAAATTCAGAAGCTTATGCAGTCTAATGAGTGGAATGGCTTCTTATCTGTTACAACGAATGATGCCCTCGCCACTGGACCATGTCTATGAAGGGACCGATCCAATGAGGAAACCATAATAACACAAAACACTGCGTTCTATGTCTTAATAAACACAAAAACAAATCCACATTTTTAAAGCTGAGTGTTTATTTGTATTGGTGACAGTGAACAGCAATATTGCACATATACTGCAGGCCATTTCAAATGCACATCTTTTGGCTAGTAAACACTCAGGGCCTTTAATGTAGAGATCTTTAGCTTTACATCTACAGTGCGGACTGAAGTTAGCATATAGCGTACACAACATATTAGCATAGTTTGTTGATTCAGGAATGTGTTGTTGTGTTTGGCCGATGCCGAAGAAATGAAACCTAATTATTAATACTACAAATAGCAGCTAATAAAATACATTTCCCCTTTCTGGAATGTTATGTTGCTGTGCTTCTCTCTTAACCAAATAAATACTTAGACTTTATTGTTAGCATTCTTTTCTTTTTTTTAAGTGTATTCATTGGTTGTAAACCATTCCCTATGGTTATAAAATGCTCTGTTAAATTAATATCATAACACATAGATTTTTTTAGACTAAGTTAGATACACTATATAGCCAAAGGCACTGATGTTGGGTATGGCAGAGTGGTTTATGGGATTTTGTAAACCATATTGATATGGACCCTGTTTTTGGCACCAACATGTCATTGTGATGTAGCATTAAAACATCTTCACTGGAATTACCAGAATAACCAAACCCATTAACTCTTAAATGCATGAATGTTTCGCCAATCATTATTACATATTCGGGTCTTTAGTGACCCGGATCTATATATATCACAATCACACGGACGGATCTCTAACCGCCGCAATAATATAAAACTTTCTTGATGTTTAATAATCACAGAAGAATAAATGAAAGCATATCTTGTTAACGTTTGGAACTTGGAAGTGTTCAATTTGAGCGGAGGCCTTTTACCATCATCCCTGTCCTCGCCAGAGCTCATTTCCCAGTACATTCAGCATCTGGCTCATCTTAAAAATATTCTCAAACCTATCATTTTCAATATCTTCAAAATCAAACATTTGATCGCTGACCGCTTCTCCACCAGGTCCACCATCAAGTGACCGTGACACTAATATCTAATCGCGTATTCAGTAAATCGCCGAGCCATTTCAGAATAAAGGTGAATTGCACTTATTGAGTCATCAGAGATTCAACAATACTTACACTATTAGAGACTTTGGGTCACTATACCTTTTTTTTTTATACAAACAATTAATTAGAAAACAGACATTCTCTTATAACTGTATTCTTTCCTTGTTATATTGTTTATAATGAATAGATACTAAGAAGGTTGACGTCTAACATTTTAAAAAAATGAAATGACTGGTAGCGAATGACGTCCCGGGTCGCTAAAGACTCGAGGTGTGCCTTTAAGGGTTAATTAGAATCCACATACTTTTGGCCATATAGTGTAGTGTTACATATATGTAGACTGACAATGAAATATCATTTTTGTTCCATGTCTTTGGTTAATAATAATTACTGTCAAAATACAAATGAAAATACTTAGGGTATAAATAGAGGAGTAATCTCTATCACACAATTATTCTTGTGATATAAATAATATCTCATCAAATATCCCTATTTAATTACCACTATTCAAACATTTCTTACTGTAAAACCATGTTATGTATGTTTGCCACAAACAATCACTATTTGCACAAAGAGTCATAAATTCTAAAAACACAGCGCTTAGTACAATGGTGCACACTTCAATTAATCGTCATTACATAACAGCTAAGAAATTACAGTATGCATTTGACTGTTTAATGACTTGGATGGTCCAGGTGGATTCATCGCTCAGTTTGTACATAAATGTTGTGTTTAAATTAATGCACTTACAATAGGGCAAGACATACAGGTTTTAAAGCACAAATTTGAACCTATTATTATTATTTTTGTTAATGCGCTCATCTTAATTATTCTGAACAAAACTGCGTAAAATTTGAGCTGCGAGTTGTCTAAATCGTATTTCTGAGTATATTTTTAATGGAGTGTGGTATTATGACCCTGATGTCATGCCTTTCTCCTCATATTTCCATGGTATTTTTTGTTTCTTTGTACAAATTGATGGACAAATTATTTCTGAATTCTGTGGTAATCAACCTTGAACATTCCTTGTTTGTGCAGTTTATCGTGAGTATAGTAGTTCCAGTTAAAAGAAAGAACAGAACACAACAGACAAGACAACTGGGAGAAGTGAAGAGGAGAAGACATATAATGTCATTCTGGTCCTTCATTATGAAATTATAACCTTAACATTCTGGAATGCTCAATTTCCTAGTGGAACATTCCAGAACATCTGCGAGTTTCATTATTTTAGAGCACTTCACTGGTCTAATACTCTGGAATGCAATGCTTCAGAATTTCTTCTCCATTTCCTATATTCCAACCGAATCTACTGGATTTCCACCCTGCGCACTCTATAAATCCAGTGCCAGTCTTTCTATCTCGTCTATCAGGAAGTCAATGTCAGACCTGGTCACAGCCGCATTGGAGACGACCATCCTGAAGAAGTTGACCTTCTCCCCCTGAGGCTGGTAGCCCACCATTGTTGTCCCACACTCCATCATCATTGCCTTGATCTTGGGGGCAACCTAGATAGAAATCACAAGACGGAAAGTACTACAGTATTATACTTGTATTTTGTAGTACTTGTAATTTTTAGTATTTTGTTGTACAGCATTATGGTAACCATGCTAAATAAAGTGAGTTCTTTGTGGTGAAATATGTAGCGTACCGGCCAAAAGTTTGGAATATTTGCTTTTTTATGTTTTTGAAAGAGGTCTTATGCTCACCAAGGCTGCATTTATTTGATCCAAATTACAGTAAAAACAGCAATATTGTGAAATATTATTACAATTTCAAATAAGAGAAGGCTGAATACTGGAGTAATGGATGATGAAAATTCAGCTTTGCCATCACAGGAAAAAATTACATTTGAAAATTTATTGAAATAGAAAATTGATGTTTTACTGTAATTTCCATGAAACAAATGAATCCCTGGTGAACAGAAGAGACTTATTTCAAAAACATAAAAAAAAAAAATCTTAATTATTCCAAACTTTTGGCCAGTAGTGTACACATTTGTATCGTTTCAGTTAGTGTAGTGTAAGAGCAGGAGTGAGTCTTTGAGTATCATTTCACCTTATGAAGCCGTTGTCTTTTCTCCTCTCCATCTGGCAGGAGGCGCAGGCTTGGAGGAATGTACCAGAAACACACATTGGTGTGCTGGGGCTAAGAAACAGACAGAAAGACAAGCACGTAGAATTTAAGAAAACGGGACATATTCTAAGCAGCAGGGACGGTTCTAGGATTTCAATATTAGGTGGCCCTAAATGAGGGTATGGTTTTTAATATTGTTTGAATAATAGGGTAGGGATGAATGAGACAACACAGTAGGTTCTGCACTACCTATCAAGTCAAAACATGAATATTGAATTAATTTCTAATCATTTAAAATAACCAGCTAATATTCAGTAATGTTCATTGAGAATATAGACAAACTTTATATTACTGTAATTGTCAATATTGGCAATATGCGGGTACATTTTTTTTAACACATTTACCCTCGGTTTCACAGACAAGGCTTAAGCCTAGTCCCAGACTAAAATGCTTGTTTGAGCTGTTTTAACTGAAAGCAACTTGCACTGAAATATCTTAAAATATGTCAGTGTCATTGTTTTGTCTCAAGATGAACAACGGTAATGTTTTTTTTGTTCTAAGGTACGTTTATAAGAGCTACTTAAATGTCCTAATTGAACTAAGGTCTAATCCTGGCTTAATCTAAGACCTGTCTGTGAAACCGGTCCATAATGTTTTAAACACTATCCTTTTTTTAACTCTACATTTGTGCAATAAAATTTACTTTAAAGAAGATCTACATCTATCTTTTTTCATTTATAGAGATAACATGGAAAATGTGCCATGCTTTAGTGGAGGATTTCTGTCACCTGGTGGAAAACAAAGACTTTTAACATCCTGAAATTATTACTATAACCAGTAGATGGCAGCAGATGACCACTCGTGAGCTCATGTGCCATTTCATCTCCCTTTTATAGTTTTTTTACGCATGTTTTGCTTTTGGATTTATAATAAAATTAATATTATAACAAATTTTAGCAATTTTATGGCACTGAAGTATGAAGTAACGCGCTGAATAACACAGACTAAAATACGGGGGTGAGCTGAAGCCTGCCACCGGTTTCATATGAGTTTTAAAGGGGACTGAGGTGATCAGGAATTAGTGAACATATTACGGAGTTAATCACAAATTTTTCGGGGGGCTGGGTGGAAATTTAGGGGGGGGGGTAAAGCCCTCCTAAAATGGGCCTAGTGACACCTCTGCTAAGCAGACATTTGTCAAAGTATTCTTTGAACAAATTATACCTTTGTAAATCATAATAAACACCTAATTTTCTTTGCTACATTATTTGCTTCTGTGCAATGGGAGTGTTTGTTTTCAACATCTCTAAGGTTTGAAATGTACTAGTCTACACAAGCACATGGACGTCAACACTTGCCAAATTAAGTAAAACAAATGCCATATTAAGTATTGTTGCATTCTGAAATGTGTCAGAATGCAAGTATGCGCTGCATTTTCAGCATTGCCATGAGGGGGTGTAGTGATGTAAACCTCAACAGTCTTCTTCTGTGGTCAGTTTTCTCTTCCAGATCAACTGCTGTCAGAGCAAAAGTTTGAGGAGAATCTTCTGAACAAGTGTGTTACAGGCAAGGGGGTAATCCATCGACCGGAAGTTGAAGCCGGCCGGGTGCCGCCATGTTGTAGCAGAACTTCACTTGCGTTAGCATTTCCATTGACTCCCATTAATTTTGGCGTCACTTTGACAGCGAATAACTTTACATCTGAGGCGTTTAAAGACTCCATTTGTCCATTATTTATTTCTAAAGAAACACGACAATGTATAAAGGGCTCCATTACCTTCTATGTTACATTATGGCCCCGTAGAAACAGATTTTGTAAAAATAGGCTAACGATTGCGTCATAACCACTCGACTCTCTGTCGCGCTGTACAGAAATTACCGTACAGACAGGAGGAGAAGCTCGCAGGCAATCGGGGGGACGTCCCGTCAAGGGAGAAGCCCAAAGATAATGAGTCCATAAAAGCAACGGAATACTTACTCCTGCTCACTCACGCCAAAGAACTCTTTCCTCAAGTTCCCCGTCTCTGCAAGATTAACGTTTGCAATTTTCACGCACAGCTACTAGAAGATTAACGTCTGTCAGACAGGTTCCTCACGTCATCAAGCTTAGTTTGAGTCGGTTTGAGTCTGCGCGTCAGGAACGGAAGTGCTCAAAAATCGCTAAAAATGGGCTTCAACTGTCTCAACTGAGTTCCAATGAGATGGCTCTGTCCACTTCTTATACTGTCTATGGTTACAGGCCCTTACCAGATTGTAGAACATAGAGCAACTCTCTGCTAGTCTTAAAGACACAGGGCAGCATTAAAAAGCAATGATATGGCTCAGACTAGTAACAGACACCTTGACTCTGAATAGTACTATAGTATGTTATTATAGACAGTGGTAAACTCTGTTGTGTTTTCACTCACCTCCCCTTGAAACACCATCTCATATCCTTCTCGGTTCTTGATCTTGTGGTAGAGATACTCAGACAGCTCCAAACATCTGTCAATGTGTCTCTCAAAGCCAATAGTGCCCTGTTAAAGACCAAAGATCCATAACAAGACAGCTGATATTCTGTTCATTCATCATCCATCATCCATCCACACATTCATACATCCAACCGTTCACCTATCCATCCATCCAATCGATCTATCGATCCACCCACCAATTCATCCATCATCCATTCAACCGTTCATTCATTCAACCATCCCTCCACCCATTCATCCATCATTCATCCAGCCATTCACCTATCCATCAAGTCAAGTCACCTTCATTTATATAGCGCTTTTAAAAATAAAGATAGTTTTAAAGCAGCTTTACAGTGATAATAGGAAATTGAAGTAACAGAGATTGTTTTGACTTTACAGCAGCTCTAGAATAAAGTTATTGTCCAGCTAAAGTGAGTTTTTGATTGAGTCACTTCCGTTGCTAAGATCATTAGTTATTAACTTAGGGGCCGCTTACACAACAACGCTTACACCGAAAGCAGAAAACCTTCAACGAGTTCTGGCCGCTCATCCGCACGACCATCCCTCCCTCCCTCCCTCCCTCCCTCCATTCATCCAACCGTTCATCCATCTAACCATCCATGCATCATACATCAATCTACCCATTCATTAATCATCCGTTGAACCGTTTATCCATCCATCCATCCATCCATCCATCCATTCATTCATTCATTCATTCATTCATTCATTAATCCATCATCAATCCACTCATTCATCCATCCAGGATCCATTCATTAATCCATACATCCAACTGTTCATCCATACATCCATTTATCCAGTCATCATCCATTTATTCATCCATCCACTCGTTTGTTCATCAATCCATTGAAGGGGTGGACCCTGAAATCCACTGCTGCTTCAATGTATATGTAATGAGTGATTATAATCAAGGTATTAATCAAAAATGTTCCTTCTAAATATCAAATGAGTTGAATGACTTCTCTAGGCTTATGAGATCTTACTTTGTTATAGAAGTTACCAGTGTGATTACTGAAATCTTCTTTTCATGTATTCTTTAATGTCACTCTGAATTCAATTTCTGAGAGGTGACTGAAGGGTCTGTCCCACGCCAGGATTGCAGTAACAGTGCTTGCTCGTTTAGCCCGGCTTCCAGAAATAAAACATGGACTCGTTTTGTGTTTGAGAAAGGTCTTCAACATGTCAATACATACATCTGCTTTTCTAGGGTACCCTGACAACTATGGTCACAGGGGTCATTGTGGTCTATAGTTTAAGGGATCATTTCTTTGTTAAAGCCTTACTTTCCATTTAGATGAAAGTGTTCTCTCCTTGAGAGAAAGAACATGTTATCTTGATGTTGTGAGAAAACTCTCCTATTTATAGTTAGAGTCGACCAAATCCAACCTTGAAGAAGCTGTGTTTCTGTGTGTGTGTTAGTATTATTGTTTACAGGTTAAGGAACAAGTGGCATTATTGGAGATTGACTGACTTGTTTTCTTCGACATGTTGGCGCCTAGGGTTAGGCGGAGGAAGGCGGAGGAACACTCGTGCCTAACTCAGGGTCCTGGTGGAAGCTGTACGGCTATGGAGATGTGCCACTGCCTATCAGTCCATGTGTGGAAAATTACTATGTTTATCTATTTCTTAGCCAATCAGAATCATTCAACCTGAAGCAAGGACGTAGCTTAGAGCTTGGTGACGGGTATAACTGCTGTGATCTTTGTAACTGTAAGAGGAGCGGCCTATACAAACTCATTGTGAGTCTCGAAGATGACTTCTGCTGATGAAACTCCAAACTATCTTCAGTAAAACTTTTCTTTCCTTTATTATAATTCTGACTCTTGTCATAAATTGACTGCACTTCTGACTCCGGGTCTTAATTAACCATATCTGGTCCTTGGGTCTTTGACTGTAAATCCCCTAACACCATCGATCCATTTGTTTGACTCATTCATGAGTAACACATTATCAGACACTGAGGTTCTGATCTCATGAATGTGCACACACACCTTTGACTTCCACATGAGCCAGAATTTGAAGATGTCTACATGACGGCCACACTGTATGGCCTTGTCCCCCGTGTCATAGGTGACATCATACTGTTTATCCGGCTGAAAGAGATATCCAGCACACATGGAGTTGCAGCCCTGTAGTAGACCCTGTTAAACACACACACACATGAACACAGTGAGATAGCATGAGCACTTAGCAGAGATGAACATAATCACATGTAAAAATGTCCTGTCTATCGCTCTTTCACTTTCTTGTCTTCGGAACATTTTGTTTCTAGTCAGTCAGTTTTCTTTGTATTCTATCACTGATTTTTACTCCGTTCTATTAGCATTTAGACTCATTCATTCTGCCGCCCCCATTTCTGTCTTTCTCTCTTACCTTCTCTCGGACCAGAATGGCGGAGCACTGTAGTGGGACACCCATCATCTTGTGTGGGTTCCATGTGACAGAGTTGGCTCTGCAGAAACAACACTGATCAGAACACTGTGCTGGCACACAGTTTAGTTGGTTGTATGGCAAGAACATAGTAGAGCAGGGATGGGCAACTTCGGTCCTGGAGGGCCACTGTCCTACAGAGTTTAGCTTCAACCCTAATCAAACACACCTGAACAAGCTAATCAAGGTCTTCAGGATCATAGATATCCATAATAAAGGCTCGATGTCTTACGGCGGAGTCTCTATCGTCATCACCGTCGGCCATCTTGTCACAGGCAAGCTTTCTTGCGGGCTCTGTGGTACCTGATGTAAGATGAGTGATCAGCACGAACAAAAACACTCTTATCTCGTTGAAATCTTGACGGATTGACAAACGGTTTGGTTTCTTACAAACGTTATTAACGTGGCTATAATTCTGGATGATTATTTATTTATACACTTATTATTCATGTGTCATAACTACATCTCTGACGTTTATAACAAACCAAACCGTTTGAAAATCGGTAGAAAATTGAGCAAGTTATGGTTATTTAAAAAGTACATGCACCATTAAAACACAATGTTACGAGTGAGCGAGCTGCCTGTGACAAGATGGCCGCCAGGTGCGGACGTCGACCTCCATTGGCCAGCAGCGCGGACGAGACATCTAGCCTTTATTATGGATATCTATGTTCAGGTTTACTAGAAAGTTACAGGCAGGTGATTTTTCCAGGGTTGGAGCTAAACTCTGTAGGACAGTGGCCCTCCAGGACCGATGTTGCCCATCCCTGTAGTAGAGTATGTACTTAACAGGGGTGTAGCAACCATTATAACATTTAAACATTTTTAAGTCCTCCTAGTTTTGGGAATTCCTTTTATCATAATTTAATTTTGTTCGACAGCAGTGCAAGGATGTAGCTGGCTCATAAAACCAAGGACTTTAGGACCAAGCAAAAACCTCTATCAACTGGTTGAATTGGCAGTGGACAGCTCTTGTGAAATGAGTACTTTTTATAGTAATAGTAGCCTATACTTGAAGGAATAGTTCACCCAAAAATTAATATTATGTCATCATCAAGTTGTTCCAAACATGTATGAATTTCGTTGTTGTGTGGAACATAAAAGGAGATATTTTAAAGAATATATGTAACCAAACAGTTTGTGGGGCACCAATGACTTCCATAGTATTTTTCTTTCATACAGTCATTGGTTCCCCACAAACTGTTTGGTTATACCGACATTCTTCAAAATATCTTCTTTTATGTTCAGGTTTGGAACAACTTGAGGGTGAATAAATGATGACATCATTTTCCTTTTTGGTTGAACTATCCCTTTAAGTGGGACGGGGGGAGGGTTTGGGTTGACTAGCTTTCGTGAGGCACACTCGCAAGGTCTCTCGCTCTCTCCCTCTCTGCCGTGCTCGCGCTATGTATGTTATGCGCGCAGTATGTTCTGTCTCGCATGCGCGCTCTAGATTCCGGCAGATTTGAACTAATTTACGGGCATCAGGGAGACGCTATAGACTTGGGATGTCTGCAATGGCCATAGACAATTTGAGGAAGAGGTGGGGGAAGTGACGTATGTCGTAAAGCAGTCGAGTTTTGTAGTTCTTTTTGTGCTCGGGTTACTACCCGAAACCCGAAGTTACATAGTGTGAGTAAAAGCGATACAGACCACGTCAGGCTATGGCAGACGTGTCATTTAACCTATTGTAAGTCGATGTACCATCACAAGGGTCTTGGAAATATATTATGAAGGTTGAAAAGTTCCATAGTGTTGCTTTAATTGCATGTTAATTGTAATTAAATAAAAATGAAGTTTAAATGCAATTAGCATTTGACAAGCTTCTATGGTAAACAAAAATATAATGTATTTTTATGTAATGCATTTAAATATTGAACTACACATTTGTAATGATGAAGTTGCAATCTAGTACATTTAAAATATATTACCTTTAAAGTAGGGCTGTCAAATGATTAATCGTGATTAATCACATCCAAAATAAAAGTTTTTTTTACATAATATATGTGGGTGCACTGTGTATAATTATTTTGTATATATATATATATAAATACACACACATGCATGTATATTTAAGAAAAAAATATTATTTATATATAAAATATTTATATTTATATATAATATAAATTATATATAAATCTATATATAGTATATACATGAAAATATTTCTTAAATATATACAAGCATGTGTGTGTATTTATATATAAAAAATAATTATACACAGTGCACCCACATATATTATGTAGAAAAAACTTTTATTTTGGATGTGATTAATTACGATTAATCATTTGACAGCCCTACTTTAAATGTAATGTTGAATAACAAACTACAGTTAAAATTAAAATCATGTACTTTAGTATGTTAGTCAACACATCAAAATAAGGGTAGCCTACTTCTTTAAAGCATCACAAATGATTATTAAAACATAATTATTTAAAATGTACTACACAATATTAGTGAATATAATATTAATGAAGCAAGCTCATAAGGTTTATAGCTTATGTATGATACCTCTCAATGCCGTTAAGCTTGTGTCTATGTTTTCTGGACATCAGCAAACCTCCACCCCACGCTCCCTTAAAAACATATTCACACAATCAGTTGCAAAAAAAAAAAAAAAACGTATTCACAGCATTCAATGCGTCTGTTTAAGAGAGTAAAGAAATAATCACAAACGTACATCCACATGAAGCCACAAGTTGTATTTTTCACAGATGTCAGCGATCTCATTGATTGGATCAAAGGCTCCGTACACTGTAGATCCAGCTGTGGCGTTCACAAACATCGGCACACACCCCTGGCAGCACACACACAACAAAGCCATTCTTCACATACACAATCCGAATCAAAGTTGCAGTGCTCAGAACTAATTGCATGTTAATTGCAATTAAATGAAAATGTGTTATAGTTTAAAACCCTCTGGGGTCCTTCATTTCAGAGTCACACTCAGGACCTTCGGGTCCAAATGGTCCGGAAGGGTGGGATTAATATATATATATATATATATAAAAAAATCATAATTTAATTTTAGAGTCAAGCCTAGGCCTCATGAAAGCAATTTTTGAAATGAGATGGATGCCATCTGGTGGACAAACTGAGCATTGTAAAAATTCAAAACACGTATGTAATCTGAATTTATTAGTGTTTACGTGTATAAAAGTGTGTTTGTGTGTGTGTGTGTGTGTGTGTGTGTGTGGCTGGTCTGTTTTGCACTCTTGATGTTTTATATATTCACCCCTTCACTGTTGTGTGCTTTTTTTCTGGATCGTGGCTGATTTGTAGATTGTACGCACAAAAAAACTCTGTATTTTCACATTTTTGCCAATTTCCCATTCATTTCCTATGCGGGTCCATTTGGACCCGAAGGTCCTGAGTGTGACTATATGTGACATTTTTTTTGGGTGTTCATATACCAAGTACCAACAAAGTCACCAAATTTCGGACCATTCCGAGGAAGCTATGATTTAAAAAATATATATATATTTAAACGCTTCGGGTCCATTTGGACCGAAGGACCCCAGAGGGTTAAATTCAGATTAAATTTCATTGAATTTTTTACCCATCTTCAGTAGGACTTAAGTGTTACACACTACAGCAACAATTTACATCTACTTTACATGTGCTTTAGTATGCAAGTCAACACATCAAAATAAGGGTACTTCTAATTAAAGCATGACAAAAGGTTACTAAATCAATGATTTAAAATGTACTTTAAAGTAAAAAATAAGTGCACCTTTTAAGAAGCATAGTCATGAAAGTGTACTCTTTTTTAAGTACACTTAAGTGGCCTTTTATTTCATTAATATTATCTGCAAGCACAGTTTTTAAGATTTAGAAGAAAACTATAAGTGCACATTCAATACAATTAAGCACACTTCTTTTTCACAAGTATAGGCTTCCAGAGGATGCGTTGCTGTAAACATGATGATGAGAATGATTGTATGTGGTAAATGAAATGAGAGAACATCACAGACACTGTCAGGAGGACTTAAATATTTAATAAACATTCCACCAATCAGCAATGATCATTGCAGTCAGTATGATTATCACCTCTTAACACAACAAGAAGCGCAAAGAGCTCAATGTCTGTCAGAGAGGTGTATTGAAGAGTTTATTCATGTGAACAGGACACTCACCTTCTGTTTGGCGTCAATGACTTTGGCTTCCAGATCAGCCGGAATGACTCTACCTCTAACAAAGAGACACAAATGTAACACAGACTCTCGCCGCTGATGAGAAGATCCACAAACACACCACAGACACACTTACCTTTCATCTGTTCTCAGCAAGATCAGATTCTCTGTGCCAAAACCCAGCACTGCACTGGCCTTCTTTATAGAGTAGTGACTCTGGGAACAATATAGTAACAGACTTGTGAGTAAGTGTATGATATTTCGTACGTCAAATGTATACTTCACCAAAAAAGAGAAAACAAAAAGAAAATTAATTAATTCTCCATCTCATGCCCAACTTCTGTGACTTTCTTTCTTCTGTGGGACCCAAAAGTAGATCTTCAGCAGAATATCCTGGCGCCTCTATTCCACACAATGAAAGTGAATAGAAATGAGGTCTGTCGAGCTTCAAAACTGACAAACACGACCCATGAAAAGCACCATCCAGCATAGCTCTCACATCTCATTTGCATTTGCACACATTTAAATATGGTGCAAGACACATCACACCAGGTTGGACATCAATGATGATCTGTCAAGGAACCGAGAACGTTTGATGCCATTGATATCTTAATGTGTGGACATGAGATGCGAGAGCCGCGGCAAATGAGCTTCACAGAGAGCAACGGCTACAGTTTTGGCCTTTTGATCTCACAAAATGCTAGCTTATGGTTTCAGAAGACTTACAATCAGTGGTTGTGTCCGATTTTCTCATTGTCCTTCATTTTTAAGGAGAGGGTCGTACAAATTCCGTCATAATCTATTATACCTGTCATTTTAATTTGCATATTTTAATTATAAGACGACATTTAATCGTTTTTGCAATGTTTTCATTCACATTTTCAATGAAAATGGATGAGCATATAAAATAGTTATTTATGAAGAGAACAGATTACCAATCGATTTTTCATGTTCAACACCACGCAAAGCTGATTAATGTTTGTTTGTTTTTTCCGCAGTGACAGCCACTAAAACACGACCTTTGTGCCTGAACAGGCAAATATGAACAACACAATATTGCAAAATACAATTACGATTAAAATTTGAACAAAACACGTACCAAATGAACTGAACTAAACTCAATCGACTTTCTGTAACTCAAACCTTCCTCTTGGTCCGCATGGTGACTGATAAACTGACCGGTGACTGATAAACGTTGGCTGTGTCCGAAATCGCCCCTATACCCTCATTCACTATCCCCTACATTAGTCCACTAATAAAGTTCACTTGAGTGAATGAAAACGAGTGAGCCGCTTTTGCAGAGTTTGTCCTTGCTGTTTAATAATTATTTGAAACTGAGCAAATTAGCAGCTCCAGTAGTAATGAAAAGATTCCACGACTCTCAACAGGCATTATGGGTATTCTCTAGCGTTGAGCGCATAGATGTGTAGTAGTAGCTCCACATTCGACCACTCGCCGCCACTCACAGTAAGAATAAATGATGCCACAACATGGCGCAGCTTGGTTGCAGACGCTCAGTCAACTTGATCTCGAGTGTTCATGGACCGTTCCAATATGGCGGACGGTTTAAGCGTAACGGCCCATTGAAACAGCCGCTAACGAGGCATCTATGTGTATATATATGGTATATATTATTGCGGTGCATTGTGGGATTGAATGAGTGCACTCGATAACGTCCACTGTGGTTTCGGACACCATACAAATGGCTGCCCCCTCAAATAGTGCCCTATTTAAGGGTATAGGGGGCGATTTTGGATGCACGCGTTGTCTGACGTTTGTCCTTCATCCTCCACCGCATCCGCATCACTCTCTTATTTTTCACCTCTTTTATCCAAAATATCACAACTCTTTGGGCATTTGAACTGAGATCAAAGACGAGACAAGATAATAGATCATGAATATGTGCACTCGCCACCAACTGGACAGGGGTGGGAATTACCTTTACAAGTTACAATAGATCACCCTCAGTGTAATCTGTCAAAATGAACGACGGCCTTCAGATTTGTCCGTCAATGCTAAAGAAAATGTAATCAATAACGGAAAATATGTGGTTACAACGACCACTGCTCTCAATAAAGGGCACAAGTTGTATGGACTACTTTTATAGTTCTTTATGGTGCTTATTTGATCAGTTTTGGAGCTCACTGCTTCATTATGGAAAAGAGGAACCAGGATATTCTGCAAAACTTTTAGGCTCTCAAACCCACAAAAATTTCATCAGTCAGTGAAGCCAGTATGTGTTCTGTCAACGCTATCTCACGACCAATTCGTACGAATTTGTACGAGTGATTAAAAGATGGCTAATTCGTAAGAATTCGTACGACCTCACTCGTACGAATTTGTACGATTTGTCTAAACCCACGTGATGGGCGGAGTCAGGGGTAGGTCATTCGTACGAATTGGCCAACTCGTAAAATATGTACGATTTAGCAAAAATCTTACTAATTCGTACGAGTGATGTCGTACGAATTTTACGAGGTGGCTAATTCGTAACAATTCGTACGACATCACTCGTACGAATTAGTACGATTTTTGCTAAATCGTACATATTTTACGAGTTGGCCAATTCGTACGAATGACCTACCCCTGACCCCGCCCATCACGTGGGTTTAGACAAATCGTACAAATTCGTACGAGTGAGGCCGTGAGATCGGGTTGTTTCTGCACATCAACACTGTGGTGTTAAGTCAAAATACTATCTAAACAAAATAGTTTCTTTTAACTTTGACTGAAGATAGTTTATAGCTTTTAGATAAACAAAATTATTTTAACCGGAAATCACAATTTTCGATTAGACCAATATAAAACTGCAATAAATGACACGGTCGTTCCCCTTTTTTCAGTATTCACGCATTTAACTACACAGAGATAGGGAGAGAAAAAGGGAGAGAGAAGAGAGAGAGAGAGTGAATGACCTACATGTTCTGAGGTGAACAGCACCAGTCTGGGAACCGCTGCCATGCCTTTGATTTTAACCTCAGGATAGTGTTTATAGCGCGCCACCATCACGCTGTACATGTTTGAGATCGCTCCTCCTGCAACAACAAACATTTTAATTCATTTAACTGATGAGTAGGTCTGTAATTAACATTGTGTACTTATAATCTCAAGAACAGACAGTCACATTTACATGTGTCTTAAATAAATTGAATAACAAATGATTTAGTCGATGTATGCGTTTATAATTGTCTGCCAAAATTTAACATGGCAGCCAAATGAAGACGGGCTCCTCCATCCATTCTTGGCTTCTCCTTTTCATATCTCATTCAAAAAAATATTTAGGCCTAAATTTAAGATTCATGTATTTGAATTGCATATAAAATTGACGCAGTTTTAACAATTTAATTTAATTTATGTTTTTAAACAATTTGCATTATTACTTTATGAAAAAAATAAACAAAAATTGAAACAGTCCCACGGTTTGCTAACAGGAATACTTTTTTGTTTGTTTGTAAATCTGTGCACCCGCACAAGTGCTGAAAAGTGAAGCCAAAGCGTCTCGATCGCCCCCCGGTGGCTGGTCCCAGTATAGGTCATAAAGCCCGCCTCCCCATGAAGTCTGGACGCGATGGAAACTAAACAATCAAATTACGCTTTTTTTTCAAATGTTTTCTGTAATTTTAGGTAGTTTTTATCACGCTGATTGAAGTTTAAGTGTTCTTTTTTTTTTTAAATAAGTTTGGTCTTAGTTAGTTATTTGATGCTATAAAATCGGGAATATGACGTCATGATTGACAGCTTCTCTAGTCAAGCCAAGTCAGGGTAAATTCCCAAATCAAGACAGCTTCTCTAAACGAAGTAGTCACTGAGGCACCAACTGAAGACTAAAATTTCATCTTTGAATATAATTTCATTAATTAATATTATGTATCTGTATTATTATTCTTTATTTAGTATTCATAATAAGTTGTATTATCTTATGAAGTTTAAAATGCATGAGTAGACTATAGATTGCATGGACACATGTGTTTAAGGAACATATTTTAGACACAAGGAGGGTAGCTGGGAGGATTATGTATTCTGCTTAGAGGTATGTAATGTTCACTTAGCAGAGAGTTCCAATGATGAATATACTTCAAATGTGTACAGTTGGTATGCTCTTTGCAAGAAAATGAATGTTTCAACTGATGCAAATGTACCATTTGTATACCACTAATGTATACACTGAGAAATAGTTTCTTAATGTGGAAAGTGGATTGTACCATGTGCATATACATTTCATTTTAAGCATAAGCAATATGTTTTGTTACCTTACAAGGAAGCTGTAAGACTCTCTGTGATGTATAAAAACTCAATCTTACTGTACTACAGCAGAGAAACATGGAGGCATGACTGGGTGAGAGGAAGGAGAAACACGAAACGCATAGACCTGGCATGAATATAACATCTTCTCAGAGTTTCTCTCCTGACATATAAGAATAAAAATCTTTCTTGGCAAGATAACTGGTGTCTGGTCCCGTGAATTAAATAATAACGGGGAAAAGGCTTAATTCCAAGTCTACAATTTGGCGTCACGAACAACAGGATCGCATCTTCAGGCATTTGTCTCAATCATTCAAGGTAAGACTTTTTCTTTTTCTAAAATAATTCTAAGTCTGCCTGATGATTAGACATTGACTGAAACTGCTTAAAAGAACTGTGTTATTTAAAGTACCAGTTGTGTTGCCAATGAATATATGTCAGACAATTAAATTTGGCTTATTTAAGTTGCTCTGATCAGTAAAACCTCTAAAATATTTGAATGATGCTTGGGTAAAAGTGGATCTTTTTTAGAAAGAAGACCATATAGAATTAGCTATAAGACGGTTAAGCTAGGCAAATTTGCTTGTTTACAACTGCGACGTGGTTGGATTGTGGCGGGACTGTCTAAAAAGATGGCAGAATGAACCCTAAAGCATCCAACACACAGAAGATTCGTTCTCAGAAGGAGACGAGGAAAGTGTAACAAGCAGTGATTTATAGCGGTTTAAAGTGGCGGGTCTGTGCTCTGAGTTAGTGCAGTGCAGTATATAGAAGATACGAAGAAAACCCTAAAACGTTTAAATACGCAGAGGATTGAACCCTTAGAAGAAGGGTATCAATGAAAAAAAAAAGAGCTAGAATCGCGGGCATTCTGATTTTGACCATAAAACTGTTCAAATGTTTGAGGATACTGATCTGAGTTGAACTTAAAGAAAAAAGAAAAAACAAAGAAATTAATCTAAGATAAACTAGAGGAAAAAGAAAGAATAAACTTATCTGAGTTAAACTTAAAGGAAAAAGAAAAACAAAGAAATTAATCTGAGATAAACTAGGAAAAAAAAGAAAGAAGAAAAAATGTATCTGAGTTGAACTAAGTAAATTAAAAAGAAAAAAGAATAGATAACTAAAATATAAGGGATAACTTGTTTTTAATCTTTCTTTAAAATCCCTGAGTTCTTATAGGGCTTAGAGAAGAGAGAGAGAGAGAAGCAGCCCCTCCCTTTGGAATTCACTCTATATACATACACACACACACACACACATATACGCACACACACATAGCCCTGCTGTTCTGAGCACAGAGACACAGAGTGACAAATTCTTTGAAACATGGGAGAAAGTGTCTGTAACAGCAGAACAATATCTTCTTGGTACCTGGAAAGGAAGAGGAAGAAACAAGCTAAACTTTTGAAAAAAGGTCTGGATATCAATGCATCTATGGATGAGCAGTTAAGCTGGTTCGAGTCCCAAAAAGACAAGATCAAATCAAAAGCATTCCCAATACTGGCGGCTCATTGGATTGTGAAACAAGGTGGAATTTGTTGCGACATGAATGGTGGTCCAGTTCCACTTGCTGAAGCAATGAAGCCTCAAATTGAAGCATATACCAAATTGAACAAAATCATGTCTATTAAATGTTCAGATGAAGCAAATACAACCAGTGAAGATTTATTTGATCCAGATTGGACAAATATAATAACTGAAGCTGAAAGAAAATACTCACAACCACCAGTGAAATCCGCAACAACTGTAACGCCTCCTCCTTACAACCCAATTTATCCAACTTTGCCTGAACAATGTACAAGTTCATCTAAACCTCTGACACAGCCTCAAGCTTCGAGATCAAATGGAGGTCCAGTTGACAAAATGTATATTGCATCTGCACAAGCAGCTCCGGTAATAACAAGATCTAAAACAGTTCAGCCAAACAGAGACATGCTGCGATGTACACCAGCTCGGAATTATGATTCTGACTGGGGCGATGAGACAAAAGATGACGACATGATCACAGTTGATAAGATCGGTCCTGAATTTTCTTCACCTGCGATTAAAAGGGAAGAATCTGAAATGATGACAGAAGAAAGACCATTCACACCAGGAGAACGTCAAGCCATTCTCACAGCCTTGCCTCCTCTGAAGAGACAAGATCCAAACACAGAGTTTTGGCGAGAATTGGACTCATTAGTTGAAGCACATCAAATGACATTAAGAGATATACACACCATTGTGAAAGCTAAAATCCCAAGAGACCGATGGGAACGCTTGCCAGCATCGATAACAACAGCCCAGTGGGTAGACTTGTGGGTCGACGGCCAGGGAAGACACCTGGGTCTTTGGCAAGCATTAGATGAGTTCCGAAAAGTAATCCAAGAAATCTTGGGAAGTGGTAAAATTCCATTCACATCAGTGACATTGATTAAGCAAAAGGATGATGAATCTCCAGATGAATATGCTCTGCGTAAGTGGAATGCTTATGAAAGATGGGCCCTCTGTGCTAAGAAACAACCTGACAGAGATGATGTACAGTTCACTGACACACTTGTCGATGGTTTCAGCACAAAATACCAACATGCCTTATCACTTGGAGTCAATCCAGGTGAAACATTTGACCAAATTATGCAATGGGCTGGCCGCTTAGAGATGGCTATGAGATCAAATAAAGAAGAAGGAAACAAGCCATATCGAAGAGGAGTGGCAACAGCTCAATACAACAAGGACACAAAGAATAGGGTGATTTTCTGCAGCAACTGTGGAAAGCGTGGACACTCCAAAATAGATTGTTGGGCTAAAGGAGGTGGAGCAGAAGGTCAAGGTCCATCATTTAGACAGGTCAGTGCGAAAAACCATGAAGAAACCACTCAAGGGAAGACATGGACTGAAGCACAAGTCCGTCAGCTCATTGAGGGAATTATGCGTCCGCAATAGGAATCAGCGGCCCCCTGTATTAGTAAGAAAAGAGACAATCGCCTTTTCGTCAATGCATTAATAGGGGGCCACCCATGTGACATCCTTGTTGACACAGGAGCAGCCATTTCAATAACAGATCTGAACCTACCTACAACAGATGAAACTATGGAAGTTGAAGGAGTTGGAGGAGGTATCACAAAATTTCGCAAAAGTATTCAAGTTCCACTGCAAATACATGAAGATGAAGTCTTATGGACATCTTTCTGGGTTGGGCCGAATTCACAAGGAAGCCTTATTGGCATGGACATTCTTCCATTGTTGAACATGATCATATTCACTGACAGTCGTCAAATCGCTACAACAGCTGGGATAATACCACACGAAGATCGCACATGTAATTTAAGTTCTGTTGGTACAGCAAAACCAATCATCAGAAATTGGGGAAAAGATGGTGTGTGGGGTCTTCTGTGCAGTTTATATTCAGATGTTTGGGCTAAACACAAATTGGATTGTGGCAAAGCCAACATTGACCCCGTTGTTATTGAGGGACCGATACATGCCCCTCATAAACAATACCCTATCCGACCTGAAGCAAGACAAGCCGTGGAAGAGATAGTGGCAGACTTGGAAGCTGAAGGAATCATCAGACAAACTTCATCTACCACTAATAGTCCTGTCTGGCCTGTCAGGAAATCGGATAACTCATGGAGATTAACCATTGATTACACAAGACTTAACAGTGTAACACCAAAACCGCATCCTATTGTGGCCAATCCTGCCACCATTCTGAATGATATTCCAGGAAATGCAAGAATTTTCACGGTACTAGATGTACTGTCAGCTTTCTGGTCTATACCTATTGATGAAAAATCTCAAGAGAAATTAG